TAGTGAGCGTTGGGGCAGATCGTCGACCGATGACTCTGCCTTCAATCTCGAGCGGCTATTCGATGAGGTCGGTGTCGATTGTCTTGCAAGTGCAGAACTCGCACTTTTGGAGAAATGTCTGGAGGAGGAAGATAATTCAGATTAATATCCAGCACGCGAAGGCGGTATCCGGCAATCTTTTGCTTCGTCTCAGGAGAGACGGAACCGATGTCGTCCTAATCCAGGAACTGTGACTACGCACTAGCGGCATATCTAGCCTAAGGAAGATGAGTCATAAGCTGCTGGCGGTCAACAGTACAGGTAGAATCAGAACTTGTCTGCTGGTCCGAAATGAACTAAATGCTTTTCTTGTTACCTAATATCAGCAACGAGGACGGTGTGACTACTAGGCTGGAGACTCTGGCTCGTCTGGCCTATATGTCGCACGATGACGAGGTGATACAACCTCTAGTGATGCTGAGAAGGATTCTAGCGGAGGCCCGTCGAAGAAAATCGATCAACATTATTGGTTTGCACGCGAACTCAAGGCACACGGTCTGGAAAAGCGTGGACATAAACGCTTGAGGTGAGTCACTTTTTAATTTCATTTGTAGTGAAGACCTCTATATTAAGAACAGTGGAAACTTCGGGTGCGTTCGAGCTACGTAATAATTGCAGCAGTACAGCTACTGTGTTGCATATTTGCTGATACTCTGCTGATGTGCAGACAAAAATTTAGTGTTGGCGATTATTTGCATAAATTGCGAACAAAAAATGACAGCAGAGCGTGATGCTGTTGCAAGTCTTACCAAAAATTCACGCAGAACGTGATACTTTGACAAATTTGCAACACTGCTGTCGTGATTACCATCTCGAACGCACCCTTCCCCACTTTTGTAACTGCAGGCAGAAAAAAAGTCCCTGACCTCACTTTGACAGCAAGGGGAATAGATCCCTTAATCTCTGAATGGAGGGTTCTTGATGATCATTCCTTCTGTGATCATTGGTATATTAGTTTTAACCTGGACAGAGCAGGTCTTATCAGAGAACCATTTAGAAACAGGGACTGGGACGTCGAGCTCTTCAGTTCTGTATGTAGTTCTGCCATTGAAAGCTCTTATCATCTTAAAACACAGCAAGGAAAAGCGAAACCCTCTTGGTGGACACCAGAGCTTTCTGCCATTGAAAGCTCTTATCATCTTAAAACACAGCAAGGAAAAGCGAAACCCTCTTGGTGGACACCAGAGCTAGCGGAAATTAGATCTTCAAGAAAAAGACTGTTTAATAAGGGCCGTAAAAGCGGACTTAGTGCAGATTGGGCACTGTATAAAGCGGGTCTTGCTATTTATAAGAATGTGATTAGGAAGGCCAAACGGTCTTCTTGGAGAGGCTTCTGTAAAAAAGTAGAAGGCTGTCATGAAACCTCTAGGTTTAGGCGCATTTTCCAAAAAATGCTACACCATTAGAGTATCTTAGAGAGGAATTTGGAAATGGGGATGTAAGTAGCGTGGAGTCGCTAAGGCTCCTCCTGGATGCTCACTTTCCGCTAAACCCATCTCCAGAAGAAGTACACCTTGGAGAGCTTTAAGGCTGTACAGCCTTCTCAGGCCTTCTGGACAAGCGTCGTCTCACGTGGGATATTAAATCTTTTAAACCGTTTAAGTCTCCTGGATCCAACGGCATTATACCTACACAGCTTCAGCGTACAATAAAGGAATCATGCAGTTGGTTGGCCCACATCTACGCGATCTGCGTCAGATTAGGTCCCATACCGGTGGTGTGGAGACATGTTAGAGTGCGGTCGTCCCGAACGCCGGTAAAAGCTGTCATGTCACTGCCAAGGAGTTTAGACCCATCAGTTCCAACGTTTCTTTTGAAAACTCTGGAGAGACTTATTGACCTGTACATTATGGGTCGAACCAGAACGGTTCTGACGGAGTGGGGAAGTGCACAGACACACAAGTAAATAGGTGGCTGGGTATATGAGAGACCCCGGGCAGGAAGACACTGAAATTCTCCATGGCCTTGATTGCATTCCTTCCGACCTAGATTACTGCACCGCAGAACCTTCTCCTGACGGTTCCTTATCGGCCCACACACGTGAGAGGGATTTATGGGCGGGGCGAAGCCGTTGGAGGACTCTTCTGTTGGGAGCTCTCCATCAACTCTAGTTTCAGACTATCAGACCACATACTCCTGGATTGCCTCGCAATAGCAAGGAGTCAGGCATTCGGGAAATTAAATCTGTGTTGTACACAATAGACTACAGTTCGCAGTGCAGTCCTCAAATTTTAATCTAATGTAATAGCATATTCCAAGCGAAGGTGGCTGCCATCAATGCAGCAGTAGATGTACTGCTCCGGAGAGCAGCCTCCTTCAGAGGAGTGTGCATTCACTCCGACAGCCGAGCGGCTATACTAGCTTTGAGCTCGCTGACTGTGCTCTCAAAACTAGTCAAGGAGCCCATGACCTCATTAGCAATAGCTCCCAGCTTCTTCCATATTAAACTAGTATGGGTGGCCGGACATAGCGGAATTTTCCCAGCTTTTGCAAGGCTGAGATTGAAATATTTCGGTAGACGCACCTTCGGCAAACCAAGCGAAAATGCCTTAAAAAGTTTGTGATGAGCTCAAAACGATCTGTCGATCCTTGAGGATTTGGTTACCTACCTCTCTTTGGGTAACACAAAGGACGAATTTCGGCCCAAATGAGATTAAGCGAGTTTGAATCAACCTCAAGTGGAAGATCGCCTGAGTTATTTTATGTATAGGTTTGCTATCGTTAACTAATACCTATATAAAAAAAAATCCAATAATTTAAAGCTAATAAAATCTATTTCACTATGTTTAACACATTAAACATATCTTTTTTGGATTTAATTTTTTTTTCAAAATAATATATTTGTAATTAGAGTACGTACATGAACATAGGTACATCAATTTTTACTTTAACGGTATATTATATATTAATACTTGAACCTGTATATTAAGTTTGCCACAAAGTTTGTAACACCCAAAAGGGAACGGCGGAAGCATTACAATGAATTTTACACCTACATTTTAAAATTTTATATCCACTATCACTTTACTAATCCGTTTCTGGTTATTTGTATATTTTGCAACCCCTTTGTTATTGTGTGAATTAAAGAATTGAACAATAAGTTAAATATTGAATTAAACCTTATTTTGCACTATATAATTTATATATGTACAAACAAATTAGTGAACTGTTAGGAGTTATAAAAGTGAAAAATATTAGGGTAAAATTCATTTTAAATCTAAAAGATACTTAATTAAACTTAAACTTTCAACTTTAAACATAAATATATTGAAAATTATAAGTTTCCCGCGGCTATATACGCATAATCTTGATTGGGAGCATCTCCTCTATCCGCCCATACCCAATCCTGGGACGGCATTCTAAAGTTTTATCTCAATCCCATCCGAAAGGAGTTTGCCACAAAATTTTTCAAAAAATGACTGTTATTTGCCAGTCAAAATCAAATTTAACAAGTAAGGAAGGGCTAAGTTCGGATGTAACCGAACATTTTATACTCTCGCAAAGTCAAATGGTATACTCGTTTGAGATTTCTTTGTGGATTGACTGATACTATAGGCGCTGGGGTCCACATATTTAGTTCTTAGGGGCTTGAACAGTTTCGGTTCGATTTAGACAATTTTTGGTCACAAGGTGGCATACTTTAAACGCATTATTCACGCAATGTTTTACCCCGATATAATCATTGTTGCTTGATTTGCATACTGGAAAGTGAAAGAATCAAATATATCAATAATCCGATTTCGCCCATTTAGAGATATGAGAAGAATGTTATGTTCCGAATTTGTTTGAAATTGGTTAGGCAGATCTCAAGATGTGGGTTTTCACCTAAAAGTGGGCTGTGCCACGCTCACTGTGTAATTTTGAACGCGCTTCCTATAAAGTCATCTCATACCATCCCAGAGATAAAATGTAATGTCTCTGGCGTGTTTAGTGTTTGATTAATCGCGCTTTTAGTAGTTTTAAACAGTACCGTTATATGGGGAGTGGGCGGGGTTCTCACCCGATTTCACCCATTTTCACACTGCCGATATAGGTGCTAACAGCATTTGTTGCCAGTAAATTATTTATTATAACTTTAGTGGTTTAGGAGATATGCACATTAAACCTATTTGGGGGCATGACCACGCCCATATAAAAAAAAATTTTTAACTGTAGAAGCCCCGCCCTAATGTGATCCTGTGTATCAAATAACAGTCTCGTATCTTATTGTGGAGCATATATTATTGCAATTTATTTGTTTTTGATTAATGGGTTTTTGTGAGCGTGGTAGTGGTCCTATTACGCCCATCTGTCATACCAACCGTCTTACGGTATAAAGAAACCAGTGTACCAAGTTTCATAAAGATAATTTTTACTCAAGTTACAGCTTGCACGGACGGACGGACGGACAGACAGTCACCCGGATTTCAACTAGTCTCTTCATCCTGATCATTTATATATATATAACAATATATCTAACTCGATTAGTTTTAGGTGATACAAACAACCGTTAGGTGAACAAAACTATAATATTATACTCTGTAGCAACAGGTTGTGAGAGTATAAAAATATATAAGTACATATAAATTTCATGGCCTTGTTGTTGTTGTTGTAACGGTTACCTAATAATAATTTCGTGGCCTTCTTCGTTGGGGGACCTAAACTATATTTACAATTATACATACATATAAAGTCAATTTATGTACATGTAAAGGTGCGTTAAACATAAGGAAACAGCATATATCAGTTTAGTAGGTGTAGTGACTACAGTAGCAAAAGGCTAAAAATTATTACTTAGCAGAACTTTCTCTGCCATCCTTAAGATCTACCTTCTATCTTATCTTAATCTCGAAGTTGGGGGGTTACTATTGTGGATATTATCCTATGATTACGACATCAATTTTGCTATTTATAAGAACAAAAGTACAAATGTTTGGTTTAGAAATAATACTCAATGGTGTCACTCCTAATCACAATCTTACCATTTTATCCACATTCTTCTCCAATATTCGAGCAACACTTTTCCAGTTACGCTGGGAACCAAAGAGCCCATGCATTATTATTAGAGGCAAATGTGTAGAATTATTTTCCCCATAAAGTGTATACGCCATTTGTATTGGAGTTATGGTGGAAAAGGAACGCAGCATAGGAGGAGCAAATAAAATTTTTTTTGTGCACCGCTTTAATAACATTCCAGTAGACATTTGATTAGATGAGCACCTCTAACAATATGATAAGGACAGAAACTGCAGTCAAAAACTTCAAATTTACACAAGGTTTTCGCAAAGTGGATTATTGTAAATTTTTGCAATCGATACTTTCCAATAGAGAAAATAGAAATATTATATTCCTCGCAGTCACACTGCAGTTACACAATCAAGAACTTATTTTCAAGTTGATCACACATACTATATGTAAAATTGATTTAAATTGACAGCCGAGACCATGGTATAAATCTACAAGTACACAGTCCTTAGATTTTCACTAATCCATACACCAATGGACTTCTCGGTAAGGGCTGCCACAAAAATTCTCTACTAAAGTCACACTTGGTACGGGTTGCCAACTCATATTCTACTACTAAAACATCCATATGACTCAAATCTGCTACAGTGTTGCCGTGTTATGTTTCAAAATTTATAAATTTAAGAATGTTTTTATTACATATTCAAATAGTTTTCAATTATTAAGATTCTTAAAGACTAAATTTACATTTAACAAGTATATCGCTGTGGGTGACTTAAGATATTTTGTAAATATTATTTATTAATTGGTACATAGCTTTGCATATTATTATTGTTGTTTCTGAATTGTACCTCATATTTTATACCATTATTTTAGTTTTCGTTAAAATTAATACAAGTAGATTGTTTTCACTCATATTTGTTTATGAATACAATTGAATTGTACCTGATTTTTATATAATTATTTTCGTTGTTGTATATGTTAATGTAATTAATATTCCTGAGCCTGATTCATGTACCTGATATTATGTATATATATTTTCAAGTTATATTTGTTATGAAAATAGTGTAACGGATTTCTCGATAAATCGTCTAACTAAAACTCACTCTTCAGCTCGATCACTGGATTGTTAAAAAAAAGACCCAATTTAATGCTATACACTTATCTTTATTTCCAATTCTAACAACTTAACACTTATTTCTCGTTATTCAAACTTATAATTTATTGCTTACAGATTAATTGCTCTTTACACGGCAACACTCTAATTAGAACTGTGTCCGGCAGCCCTTATATAGTAAATTTTTAACACAAGATCGCTACTAGAACATTCTGGCAACTACGCATTCGTTGTCTAGTTGCTTCTGGCAGTTTATCGTTAATTCTGATTTGTTCTGGTACTCGTGTTCGCCACACTGCCCTCTACCTAAGTCTGATTGTCCCGATTAGACATATTTGCGGTACCAAACGCTGCAAGCCGTTCCAGATGAACTACCTTCATTTTATTCCTTGGTCTTCCAATGGTCTGTATGCGATACACTACATCATTGAGTTGTTTAATAACCTGGTATTGTCCTTCCCAATTACACTGTAATTTGGGAGACAGCTCTTTCTTTCGTTGTGGGTTATATAACAATACCCAATCGCCTTCAATAAAACCCTCAGAGTTTATTGCCTTGTCGTATTTTGCTTTCATCTTATCGCTCATAATTTTGGTGCGCTGTCTCACCATATCATGTATATCCCTCATCTCGTCTTCTAGGATGCTATTGAATTCCTTAGTATTCCTTCCTCCGTTGGCGTTAATTCCAAATTTTAAATCAATCGGTAGTCGAAGATCTTTACTAAAAATTACCCTTGCTGGAGTCTGCCCCGTTGTTTCATGTACAGCAGACCGATAAGCCATCAGTAATATGGATATATCGGTATCCCAATCTTTTTAATACTTGTCCACATTTTTCGTCAAATGTTCTTCCAAAGTTCGATTGAATCGTTTTACCATGCCATCGGACTGCGGATGTAGTGCAGTTGTACGGGTTTTCCGGATACCCAGCTTCTGGCATATCTCTTGTATTAGAGTTGATTCAAAATTTCTCCCTTGGTCACAATGTAATTCTATTGGAACACCATATCTCGATACCCAATTGTTGATGAATACATCCGCTACTGTTCCTGCCTCTTGGTTAGGAATTGCGTATACATCTGGCCATTTGCTGAAATAGTCCATGACTACCAAAACATATCTGTTTCCTAATTTACTGATAGGAAATGGACCAGCTACATCCATGGCTACTCACTCAATTCCCACAACAGCCGGTTCTGCGATACCGGAATTGACCCGGATTTTATCCGGCCAAGGGCTGTTATTTCGGCGATCTAACCCTGTTTGGATCGGTAAGTTTTTGATTAAGTTTGTCGTCATTGGAGCAACGCCTAGTAGCAGGGTTGCTCCGAATCCTCCTGACCCGTGCTGGCATCGAGTCCAACCCGGGCCCCGAGGAATTCTACTGCTGCCTATGCGCAAAAAGGCTCCATCCAAATTCCACCTCGGTTAGGTGCAATACATGCAATGGATGGAGCCATCTTAAGACCTGCTCAGGCCTCAAGACACACAGGGAGTGGACCACGAGTTACGTGGCCCCATGCTGTCAACGCAATAATGCGACATCTGCCTCAACGGCTGTGCAACCTGCACCATGTTCGCGCACTGCGCCGCCACTCCAGTCGTGTGGCCAAGATAGGACCTCCACGGCTCTAAGGAGCTCACACAGACAGCATGACTCCCAATCTGACCAACCCCCCCAAACTTCATCCAGCTCCAATCCTCGTGCGAGAACCACCCAGCAACTCCTGGTTTCTCGCGCAGTCTGTTCCGTGTGTCAGACCATAATACGCCGGAATGTCACATCAGTCAAGTGCAATTCTTGTACTGGCTGGTGTCACTTTCTGTCGTGTTCTGGTCTGCGCACCACACGAGAGTGGAGTGCGTCGTATGTTGCCCCATGCTGTAGGAGTCTGCCCCCGCAATCACATACAGTGGCGTCGCCAACCAACACCACAGTGCGACAACCGCCCATGCGGATAGCACAGCTGCAACAACCACCACCTACACGCACCCCACTCACCTACACGCAGGATCACGACTGGACACCCGCGACAAACGCGACTCTTACAATTTAACTGCAACGGACTCCAGAGCAAGATCGAGGAGATAGTTGCATTTATGAGCCGGGAGCGCGTAACGATAGCTGCGGTCCAAGAAACCAAGTTAAACAGCCGCTCAGATCTTCTGAGTTGTGCAGGTTTCAATGTTTTACGTAAGGATCGCGATCGGGATAATGGTGGAGGCCTACCCTTCATATTGCACAACACCGTGCAATATCGTCTAATCGATGTTGACATCGACCGCAGGGACACCACTCTTGAATGTCAGAGTATAGCTGTCCGGTCAGGCGATGTCGAGCTCGAAATATTTAATATATACATCCCCCCAGTTACATGTTGCCCAACAGGATATCACCCGAATATAGATGCGCTACTTCGTGGTGAAAACCGTTTGGTGCTAGGCGACTTTAACGCGCATCACGACCTTTGGCATTTCTGCCTGTCAAACGATCGTAGGGCGATGGAGCTGGCGGAACAGATAGACGATTCGACATTCTGCACAATTAATGACGAAGCCCCCACCAAAATTATGGGCACCTGTAATAGATCGTCAGATATTACCTTCGCTAGCGGTGGTCTGATAAATAGTATAACCTGGCGACCTATGCTAACTCTTGCATCAGACCATCTGCCCATAATTATCTCGATCGAGAAACCTCCCGACTTTATTTCTGTGGACAACCGCACTTATGTTGACTTTAACAAAGCTAACTGGGTCGGCTTCATAGAATTTACTGAGAGCACCTTCAACGCACTATCCATTCCTACGGACGTCATCGTTGGCGAGCGTCAATTCCGCAAGGGGATCGCTGCTGCTACTGCTCGCTTCATACCGGCTGGAAGAATCGCGGAACTCCGCTCCAATTTCCCAGCCGAAGCAGCTGTATTAGCAAATGAGCGTGACACCTTACGCCATGCCGATCCCTGTGATCCCCGAATAAGGGATCTCAATTTGGAGACTCGGCAAATGGTAAATCATCATAAGCGGACAAAATGGTTAGAGCACCTGAAGTGTTGCAACCTCTCCACCGGTGTGAGTAAGCTTTGGACTACTATCAAGGCCCGGTCAAATCCGAGGAGACATGACGATCGGTTTGAAATTCAATTCGATGGCCATGCCTCCTCGGACCCGAAGAAGTGCGCGAGCTACTTTAGCCGGCAGTTTATACTGCACCCTTCGACCGACAAGGCCAAACAATGTGTTACCCGACGGCTGCGCAAAATGCCAAAAGACTGCGCACCACTTACTTTCACCGATGGGGAGGTTCAGAGTGTCATTAAAAAGGCGAAATCATCTAAATCCATCGGCCCTGATGGAATAAGTATGCTGATGTTAAAACACCTAGGCCCAACGGGAGTAAACTACCTCACCAAGGTCCTCAACCTGTCGATATCCACTCTTCAAATACCCGATGTGTGGAAAGTCAGAAGAGTGGTCCCACTGCTGAAACCTGGGAAACCCGCCAACAAAGGGGAGTCTTATCGCCCGATAACTCTCCTTTCCCCAGTAGTGAAGACACTTGAGGCCTTGTTACTCCCGTCATTCACCCACCACCTGAGCCTAGCAGACCATCAGCATGGCTTCCGTAAAGTGCACAGTACCACCACAGCACTTAGCGTCATAAACGCCCAGATAGTTCATGGCCTGAACCAGAAGCCACCCTGCGAGAGGACGATCCTCGTAGCGTTGGACTTGTCAAATGCTTTTGACACAGTCAATCACGCAACGCTACTTGAGGACCTGGAACAATCAACGCTCCCTCCAGGGCTGAAGCGGTGGACTATGAACTACCTGAGCGGTCGGCACTCATCCGTACTGTTTCGAGGTCAAAACTCCAAACTCAGGAAAATTAAACAGGAGTTGCCTCGAGAATCTAGAGTGACCCTCGCGCAACTTCGTTCTGGATACTGTAGCAGGTTAAACTCCTACCTATCCAGAATAGACCCTGACATACCAAACACATGTCCTGCATGCAATGAGTCTCCGCATGACACTAACCACCTCTTTGATTGCCCAACAAACCCCACTCATCTAACACCCCTCTTCCTATGCTCCGACCCCGTCGAAACAGCTCGTTTCCTGGGCCTTCCGTTAGATGACCTCGACGACAACGAATCTAGAATTTATCACCCGAACGGGGATTAGGTAATCGTTACAACAACATGGCTACTCACTCAAACGGCGCACCAGAATTGTACTGCTTCATCTGACCATGACTCCTGGACCTCGGCCCTCTAGCAGCAATGCACTCGACACAATTGGCGATCCACTCTGTAACTGATTGACGACAACCAACCCAATACTATCTTTGTTTTACTTTCTCCAAGGTTTTAGTGATACCCATGTCGCTTTCCCATACGCGATGCAAGCAGCCAGACACTAACTTCAAACTATTCCATCGTGCCCAATTAGCCTTTGCGACTGGGCTTTCTGCAGCTATTTCTTCTCTCGTTGGACGTTTATTCATCTCCAATCCGTGTACTACACTTTTCAAATATGGATCTTCTTGCTGACATTTCCGTAGCTCCTCCGGATTCCAGTCTGATGCTTTATCGGATTATGATGATTAATCGGACATCTATAATGTCTTCTTTGGCCTCAGCTTTTGAGCAATGCCTGCATTCCAGATTACAGGGACGGCGGGACATGGCATTTCCATGACTACTACCTTTCCGATGATCTATAGAGAAGTCGTATCTTTGGAGTCTCTCAATCCACCGTTCCAACTGTTCTCCCCCTGCGGGTAGGGGTAAGAATTTACCCGTGGTAAGTCCTGTCGTAAAAGGCGACTAAAAGCCAAATGCACTA